CAGAGAAGAGGAAGACAGTATAGATTTACAACAGATTTATAGATTTACATCTGAAGGCGGCCCTGTTTAAGGAAGTTTTCTGTTTGATGTTTTATCGTGTTTTTAATATTCTGTTGGGAGCTGCCTAGAGTGGCTGGGGAAACCCAGCCAGGTGGGCGGGGTATAAATAAATAAATATGTATATACCTGAAGGAGCATTTCCACCCCCATTGTTCTGCCTGGACGCTGAAGTCCAGTGCCGAGGGCCTTCTGGTGGTTCCCTCACTGAGAGAAGCTACAGGGAAACAGGCAGAGGGCCTTCTCGGTAGTGGCGCCCGCCCTGTGGAACGCCCTCCCAGCAGATGTCAAAGAGATAAACAACTACCTGACATTTAGAAGACATCTGAAGGCAGCCCTTTTCAGGGAAGTTTTTAATGTGTGACATTTTGATGTATTTTTAATCTTTGTTGGAAGCCGCCCAGAGTGGCTGGGGAAACCCAGCCAGATGGGTGGGGTATAAATAAATAAATAAATAAATAAATAAATATAATTTTTTGCTCTATAGGACGCACCCGACCATGGGACAAACCTTGTTTTAGAGGGGGAGAACAAGGGGGGAGGATTCTCTTCCTCTCTGTGCAGCGCCCCTTCAGCAAAGCGGCAGGAGAAATGGAGCCCCTTCCATTTCTCCTCCCTCTTCGCTGAAGGGGCGCTGCACAGAGAGGGAAAGCTGCGCAACCCCTCTCCAGCGAAGTGAAGCCAGGAGAGTGAGAGGGATTGGTGCGTACCAACCCCTCTCGCTCTCCAGGCTTCAGCGAAACCAATGCAAAGCCTCCGGAGCATGGCGGGAGCACTCCCACTGTGCTTCAGAGGCTTTGCGTTGCTATCGCTGAAGCCATGGAGCCTGCATTCGCTCCATAGGACGCACACACATTTCCCCTTAATTTTTGGAGGGGAAAAAGTGCGTCTTATAGAGCGAAAAATACGATTATTATTATTATTATTGGCTTGCCAGAGGTCACAGCTCAGAGGCAGATGAGGGGGGAAGCTGGGAAATAGGGGGAGAGGAGGAAGAGGAGGAAGAGGAGGAAGAGGCAGAGCAGCTGGCTAACATGCTATCACTAGAAAGCATTCCAGACCCCCCTCTCGTAGAACCTGGCAAGTGCTGAAAGTAGGAGAGCAAAGGGCTCGGAGACTGATGGCCCTAAACGGCAACTGTAAGGTGGGTGGTACTGTTGACGAATGAGGAAGTGGGAGAGAAGGTGGGTGGAGAGCTACTCAGAGCAACACCATTACTCCAAGAGGCTGCATTTCTAAGCCTCTCTCTGTGGATATTGAATAAACAACATTGGTAAGAACTTCGGGTGGGTGGGTTGGGGTTGGATCCTCTGACACCTGACACATAAGCAGCACATGAGGATCATGCCACTCCCTGCCATTGTTTGCCAGCGACTGGTACCCAGAGATACCCATGCTGCCTCCTGGAGTCTTCATTAACCGGGCCTCTCCATGTTGCAGTGTGCTTGTCTTAGGTTAAGGATGCATCATCAGAAACAGAGAGCCGAAAGAAGTGCCTAAACATTCCGGATCCATGGACCACCTATTACAAAAGTGTGCAAAGCTGTGGGCTTTGCAAAATGGCAGCTTGCATTATTCGACCCACCCTGCCCCAAATCCAAATACAACTTCAGCTGAAGGCATTTTACCCCGAGAGGAACTGACTTTGGGGCTCCAGAACTGAAGTCTATAGAGATGTGGGCATGCAATGCTGCCTCGTTCTGAGTCTGCCCTTTGGGTGATCTACCCCAGTGGTACCTAAAGCTGCAGATACTGTTGGATGACCACTGCTGTCATTTCTGACCATTGGATCTGCTGGCTGGGGCTGTTGGGAGCTGGACTCTACTGACATCTGGAGGGCACCATGTTCAGCTTGTTAGAATTCCTGCTCCATGATTGCAGTCATGGGATTTTTGTCTATCCCATGATGGTGTATGTTTTGACTCCACAGAGTGGGAAGTGATGGAAACAGGATGTTTGTGTTACTGTGTTCCGTGAAGTGGGACTATTGTCCTTTGTTCTTTTTCTCTTTGCTGTCTGATGCTAGAGAGAGAGGGAACCATGTTGCAGTGCTCCGTGTGTGTTTATGTGTAAATAAAGTAGATTAGCCAACATGCTGAGTTGCTGAGGTCTGTCATGCGAAATGCGCAAACTCTGTGGATCCCTAAGTGTGCCAATGTCGGTTGGCATCGGTCGCTGTGATGTTCGGGCTGAAGAAAGCTTTTGAAGCTCCTGAACGAAAGACCAGGAGGGAGAGAACATGCCAGTCGGGCATGTGTCTCTGCCAGGGTCCTTCTCGAGTGTAGGCTGAACTCCTGACACAGCTATCCCTGATTCTAGCCAACTATGGCCAACCGTGACTGGACTGGCAGCAGCTGTCTGGAAGGGGGCATGTCTTAGCCTCCAAGTTCCTTTGTCATTAGAGAGGCCAAGGATATAGGAAAATTGAGACATGCTTGCAGCACAGATGAGTTTTCCGCTTGGATATGTGAATGGCTTTGTATTCAAGCAGTATTAGGAAACTGTGAATAACAGTGAATAAATGACCAATTTGCAGAGGTACCTGCAAAAGGCTGAGCTGGATGAATCCCAAGCTGGAATTAAGATTGCCGGAAGAAATATCAACAACCTCAGATACGCAGATGACACAACCTTGATGGCAGAAAGTGAGGAGGAATTAAAGAACCTTTTAATGAGGGTGAAAGAGGAGAGCACAAAATATGGTCTGAAGCTCAACATCAAAAAACGAAGATCATGGCCACTGGTCCCATCACCTCCTGGCAAATAGAAGGGGAAGAAATGGAGGCAGTGAGAGATTTTACTTTCTTGGGCTCCATGATCACTGCAGATGGTGAAAGCAGCCACAAAATTAAAAGACGCCTGCTTATTGGGAGAAAAGCGATGACAAACCTAGACAGCATCTTAAAAAGCAGAGACATCACCTTGCTGACAAAGGTCTATATACCGTAGTTAAAGCTATGGTTTTCCCAGTAGTGATGTATGGAAGCAAGAGCTGGACCATAAAGAAGGCTGATCGCCAAAGAATTGATGCTTTTGAATTATGGTGCTGGAGGAGACTCTTGAGAGTCCCATGGACTGCAAGAAGATCAAACCTCTCCATTCTGAAGGAAATCAGCCCTGAGTGCTCACTGGAAGGACAGATCCTGAAGCTGAGGCTCCAGTACTTTGGCCACCTCATGAGAAGAGAAGACTCCCTGGAAAAGACCCTGATGTTGGGAAAGATGGAGGGCACAAGAAGGGGACGACAGAGGATGAGATGGTTGGACAGTGTTCTCGAAGCTATCAGTACCACCAGAAGCGGTGTGGGAAGCAGCTGTCCAAGGTCAGCTGCCCTAGTAAAGGTAAAGGGACCCCTGACCATTAGGTCCAGTCATGGCCGACTCTGGGGTTGTGGCGCTCATCTCGCTTTATTGGCCGAGGGAGCCGGTGTACAGCTTCCGGGTCGTGTGGCCAGCATGACTAAGCTGCTTCTGGCGAACCGGAGCAGTGCATGGAAACGCAGTTTACCTTCCCGCAGGAGTGGTACCTATTTATCTACTTGTATTTCGTGCTTTCGAACTGCTAGGTTGGAAGGAGCAGGGACTGAGCAACAGGAGCTCACCCTGTCGCGGGGATTCGAACCACCGACCTTCTGATCGGCAAGTCCTAGGCTCTGTGGTTTAACCCACAGCCCCACCCTAGTAACATGCATCTAAGACCGCAGGAGCCTGTTCCCTAGAATTCCACTCCGGATTTGTAGCCTTGGAGGTGTTTACGTGGGTCAGGGTAGGATTCAGCAGTGGTTAAATCATTAATTTTAACCTGACATATTTTAATCCTTTCATGTAATAAGCATTTTATTGTTTATTAGACTTTTCGCTCCCCAAGATTTATCTCTGCGTAATCTGCTGTTGATTTCCCTTGGGTACTATTATTAAGCTTATATCTTTGATAAACGGAAATGCATCTATTGGTCTCCTGCTGGTGCATTTAAAACAAATCTTTTCCAAGTGGATTATTACCTATCAGCTCTTGCTTGGTCATCACCACCCCCTCGCCCACTGGGACAAACAAACAACTTCACTTTCGGAATCCGCCCCCCCCCCCCAATGCTTAGTTTGCTCTGCCCAAAAAACTTAGTGGGACATTATAGGATGTCGACTTTTCACTGAGCTCCTATTCCGATTTGTTTGTGGGAGGTTACATGACATCAAGTCCAGCGCTTTCCAGAGCGTTTTTACATCCCTTCCAATGCCGCAAAAAGTTGTGGAAGTTTTTCCCAAATCCACTTTAATTGCACAGCCTGAATTGGCCACTAGGAAGCTGAATCTCACCTGGAAAAGAGCAACAGCCTAGAAGCAGCCCAAGAACATGCTTTGTTTCCTCAAAAGGTGGCTACACCAGCCACCCTGAAATCTACTCGGAGTCAAGAGTGGATTTCATGCTTTTTAATCAGCTCATAGTGGTGAGGAGGAATGGAAGTTCCCCCAGAATGTCTGCTTTATATGCATTATTTACACAATGGGCCCCCTGTGATTGGCTAATTCCAGGATTCTCCTGTAGGCCAATCAGGTTGCGGATTCACTTCCACTGGGAGCTGGATTGGGTGGCTCCTGTGGATCAATCAGACTGCTGCATTCTGGACCCTATTGTTCTAGGGCCAATCAGACTGCTGCCTTTTGGATCCTATTCAACTCAGTACATAACACCCCCCCTAACCTGCTACTCTCCAGATGTTTTGGGGTACAATTCGGACCAGCTGCAGCCTTGGCTGCTGGGAGTTTAGTCCCAAACATCTGAAGGGGGCACCGGGTTGGGGATGCCTGGGTTTGTGGATAATAGTGCAGCTTCCTGTCTCAAAAGAATTTCAGAAGCCTTTTATGTGGGAAATGTCTTCGATAGAACCAGCTGTAACCTGGAGGTGGGTGTTTTGATTTGATTTGCGCAGCTACAACGCACCAAGTCTATTTTAGGAAACCCCCTTCCGGCATTTCCATTCTCTTGGGGCTTCTCAGAAACTCTGGGTCGAAAAAACTGCAGAGAATCTTCTCCAATCTCTTCAGAGTCTGAGTCACAAAGAACTTGAGCAGCGAGTCATCCCTCGCCTGAGCCTCTTCCCCATTACAGGTCTGAATGCCGGCTGGTGTCTCTGCGAAGAAGACCAGGTTTCGAGTGCGTAGCATAGCGCATCGCAGAGCCAGGGACCCAGGTGGGGAATGCAGTTCGTTTGCAGAGGACAATGCATTTTTGCAGGGCACGGTGACATGTTGAAAGAACATGGCTCTGCCAGCGAAAGCAGCAACCCTGAGCCCCATTCACTGCTCTGCATCATCAACTCGCTGCCCTTTATTTAGAAATGAGAATTCCAGCTAAACTTTAAGAAGGACTTTCTGGAGTTTGACGGTGGAACGGAAAGCGGTGGGCTCTCCTTCCTTGGAGGTTTTTAAGCAAAGGTTGGGTGGCCACCTGGCATGGGTTCTTTAGCTGCGATTCCTGCGTTGCAGGGGGTTGGACTAGATGACCCTCGGGACCCCTTCCAACTTTATGATTCTATGGCTTTATGATTTAACGTTGTTGTTTTTCCATAACACTAGAACTCACAGACACCCAATGAACCTGAATGCTGGAAGATTCAGGAAAGCCACTTCCACCCTTTGGAGGAGGTGGAATTGCAGGCTTCACGGCCCCATCACACGCGCAGGGGCTGGAACCCAGCCCCCACGTGATTGGGGGGATCCCGGCCGCGTCACCTCCTGGCCAGCCAATCGGCTGGCTCTGGGGGTGTGGCCTTCCTTATTTAAAGCAGGACATGGCCGGGGATCTCCCTCTTTGCCGCCTGCCAGCTGTTCCTGCTTTTCCCACCCTCCCACCCTATAAGGTTTTCATTCCTTCACCTTGCTATGGACCTCGGTTGGTCCCCGTTGAGGGGCCTGGTAGGAATTTTTCCATTGGCAAATTGGCACCAGCCACTTGGTTTTCGCCTACATCGTCACAACTTTCTTGGTATTGGCGGTTAGGCATTGGTATAGTTCTGTAGATGGAAGAGGGGAGGAAGCGCCATCACCTTCCCCGCATATTGAAGGGTAGTCCATTAATGGATTCCGGGGGGCGTGGCCCTGTCTGAAGCCTAAGGAGGTGAGGGCCTAAGGCACGCCCCCGAGCGGTGACCCCGGGGGAGTTCCCAGTTGATGTGCATCAGCAGGACTCTCCCTACTGGTGGTTAACCCTTCCTGGACTTCAAGCGGACCGGCTGAAGTCGGATATAGTCAATTAGGACCAATGCCTAAGCCAATACCGCTCATCACCTGTAACCAATAAAGTTGTGACCTTATTTAGCCCACTAACCTTAATAATTGTGTCGTGTGTCATTATTTCCACTGGGGGGGGGGCAGGAACTCGCCACGCAAAGATAAAAAGAAAGTACTTCTCCACGCTGCATGTAGTTAAACTGTGGAACTCACTTCCACAGGAGGCTGTGAGGACGACTAACCTTGATGGCTTTGAAAGATGAATTCATGGAGGAGGGGGCTATCAGTGGCTACTAGCCACAATGGCAACGTTCTCCCTCCACTTTCAGAGGCAGCACGGCCGTTGCTAGAAACTGCCAGGGTTTGCGTACTTACTTTTATTTTAGTAAATGTATATCCTGCCTTCCCGTTTAAGGATGTCCAAGGCAACTAACAATACAATTCAGGGCAGACGAAAGAAAGTGCTTCTTCACACAGTTAACCTATGGAACTCTCTTCCACAGGAGGCTGTGCTGGTTGCCAAACTAGATAGCTTTAAAAGAGGATTGGAGAAATTCATAGAGCAGAGAGGCATCAATGGCTGCAAGTGAGGATGTCTTTGGCTGCTGTCAAAAATACTGTGCACGCCCAGTGCTGGGCTTTTAATCCACATTCACATGTTATTGTCAGAAAAGCCTATGCATCCTGCACTTTGTTGTAAAATACTGTCGTCTGCGTGGTGCTTTTTCTCAAACCAGCTCCACACTGACTGGAGTCCTTAAGCCATTACTATAATTCAGCTCTAGTCAAGTTGTGAAGACCTTGCATGGGGGTAAAGATATTGGGGCCCCATCAGTGCTCCCTGGTGTGTACACAAAGAGCAACTAATCTGACACTAATGAAGCTGTGCTGATGTGAACAGCCTGGAGGGCGAAGGGCTGTGAAGTGCATTCTTCTTCTTTGGCGATCACTCGTAGCCGAGTAAGATTGTTTTCCATAAACACGGTTTCAACAATGAGTCTGTAAGTGTGGCCAATTCTGGATCCACAAGTCCTTCCACAGTAGGGACATTGGTTTCCGGGTGGGAGTTGATCACGGTGTGGATTTGCCAAGCATGCCTTCCTCTTAGCACGTTTCTCCCTTGCGGCCTGAGTTCGAGTGTCGTCAAAGCCCATGACACCTTTGGTAAAGGCTGTTCTCCACCTGGAGCGCTTGCAGGCCAGTGTTTCCCAGTTGTCAGTGTTTATACTACATTTTTTAAGATTTGCCTTGAGACAGTCTTTGAACCTCTTTTGTTGACCACCAGCATTACACTTTCCATTTTTAAGTTTGGAATAGAGTAGTTGCTTTGGAAGACGATCATCAGGCATCCACACAACATGACCAGTCCAACGAAGTTGGTGTTGAAGAATCATTGTTTCAACACTGGGGATCTTTGCTTCTTCCAGTACACTGATATTAGTTCGCCTGTCTTCCCAAGTGATGTGTAATTTTTTTCGGAGACACCGTTGATGGAATCTTTCAAGGAGTTGGAGATGGCATTTATAAGTAGTCCATGTTTCACAAGCATATAGTAAGGCTGGTAGTACAATAAACAAGCATTTTGGTTTCCCTGCGAATGTCCCGGTCCTCAAACACTCTGCACTTCAATCGGGAGAAAGCCGCACTTGCAGAGCTCAGGCGATGCTGGATTTCGGCATCAATGTTGGCCCTTGTGGAAAGATAACTGCCTAGGTAGAAGTGATCAACATTTTCCAACGTTATACCATTGAGTTCGGTTTGTGGTGCTGCAGAGGGGTTATTTTGTACTTGTTGGTGCAGCACTTTGGTTTTTTGGATGTTGAGTGATAGGCCAAGCTTTTCGTAAGCTTCTGCAAAGATATTTAGGATGGTTTGGAGGTCATCCTCTGAGCGTGCACACACTACGTTGTCATCTACTGATGGAAGTTACAGTAACCTTACTCTTTGCTTTCAGCCGGCTCAGATAGAAGAGTTTTCCAACTGTTCGATATATGATTTCTACTCCAGTGGGGAGTTTCCATCTGACAAATTGTAGGATCATGGCAATGAAAATAATGAATATAGTTGGAGCAATAACACAACCCTGTTTAACACCTGATTCCACTGTGAATGGTTCACTTGAGAGCCTTTGTTATCTGCGATTGTTGCTGTCATATTATCATGGAGGAGCCAAATGATGTTCACAAATTCATCTGGGCAGACAATTTTCAGAAGGACAGTCCACAGGGCATTACGATTTACAGTGTCGAAAGCCTTAGTCAGGTTGATATACGCCATATACAGGGGTTGGTTTTGCTCTCTGCATTTTTCCTGAAGCTGTCGAGCAGTGAAAATCATGTCCACTGTCCCCCTGGAAGGCCAAAAACCATTTTGGGATTCAGGAAGGGTCACCTCGGATATTGTTAAGAGACGGTTTGCTAAGATCCTTGCCAGAATTTTGCTGGCTGCAGCTAATGGAGAGATGCCTCAATGGTTTCCACAATCAGTTCTGTCACCTTTTTAAAAGAGATTGATAATTTTGGCTGGGATCTCTTCTCTTTCCCAGATTTCCCAGATAAAGTTTGCTGGGATCTCTTCTCTTTCCCAGATTTTTTCGATGAGCTTGTGAAGTTGTTGTGTAAGTTCAATTCTGCCCACTTTGAAGATTTTGGCAGGTATCGCATCAGGTCCGCTGGCTTTGTTGTTTTTCAGTTGGTTAATAGCTGTACACAACTCTCCCAGATTTGGAGATACTGCAAGCTCATCTCTAACTTGTTTTTGTGGAATTTGTGAGGGGACCTCAGCAGCTACAGGGGAGTTGCGGTTAAGGAGATGTTGGTAATGTTCTTTCCAGCGCAGTGCAATAGCTTATTTATCTTTTAGAAGTGTGGTACCGTCTGCTGAGCGTAGGGGGCATATGCCATGATTTATTGGCCCATAGATGGTCTTTTTGGCTTTAAAGAAACTCTGTGCACCATGAGTGTCGGCTAAGTGCTGGATCTTTTGAGCTATTTTTATCCTCCAGGTGTTTTTAGTTCTCTGGTTCTTCTTTGAACCTCGGCCTTAGAGTTGGCATAGGTTTTTTTCTTAGTGGCACAGTTTCTATCTCTTTGCCGTTTTCACCCCCAAAAAGTTTCTGATTTGAATTTCTATTGAAATGAGGCTGCATTTTAATGTTGTATTTTAATCTTGTTTTTAAGTTGTATCTTAATCAATTGTTTTATATCTGGTGTTAGCCGCCCTGAGTCCGGTCTTGGCTGGGGAGGGCGGGGTATAAATAAAATTTATTATTATTTATTATTATTATTTGCCAGATCTGAAAGGCCTTCCTTTTCTTGTCAATCATGCGTTCAATCTCACAATCATTCTCATCAAACCAGTCCCGGTGTTTCTTGGTTTGGTATCCAATAGTTTGTTCACAGGCTCCAGTGTTCCTCAATGTTATCAGGGAATTCTGGAAGCAGATGGTCCTTAGGAGGGGACACACACACACACACACACACACACACACACACACACGTCCACTGTGCTCCAAGGAAGTAATGTGAACACACTTTATGTGTGGGGACCCCCACTGTTGCAGCTAGCCCCGATCCTGGGCTGCATAGGCTGCTGACCTGATCTTTGTGTTCCTATAAGTTCTAAAAAGGGCACCCAGTAAACTTGTGGAGGGTGGGAAGCAAAGTACAGTGGTACCTCGGGCTAAGAACTTAATTTGTTCTGGAGGTCCATTCTTAACCTGAAACTTAAAAAAAAGTTTACTGTTTTGTTTTTATGCATGTTGGAAGCTGCCCAGAGTGGCTGAGGCAACCCAATAAGATGTGTGGAATATAAATACAGTGGTACCTTGGGTTAAGAACTTAATTCGTTCCGGAGGTCCGTTCTTAACCTGAAACTGTTCTTAACCTGAGGTACCACTTTAGCTAATGGGACCTCCTGCTGTCACTGCACGATTT